CTGATCAAACAGGATCATAGATCACTGTGAAACAGTACTTAGTAATCTATTTCACTGAAGTGACAAAGACTTCAAAGGCAAATACAGAAAATTACATAGTTGTAAAAAAAAAACAGCTCTTTTAATAGAGAGGACTCAGTTTTCTTAAGTAATCAAAGACCTGATAAAGATGACATAAAGCACAGGAAGTTATTTTTATAAAACACAGAATCTTTGTTGTCTAGGCTGGTGACTTACAAGGTAAAGAAAAACCTTTCACAGTTTTGTCAACAACAGACTAATAGTCCAAGAAAATTTTGTCTTTTTGTCAGATGAAAGAAAATTGTTAGTTTTACATAAGTATACTATTGATATTAAAATTTATTTTTCTTTAAGCTCATTAAATAGAGCTCTTTCACAAATTAATTTGAGCAGTACTGTCCAGAGGTAGAAAAATATCACATATACATAACACACATCCATAGACACACATAAACCTACAGACAGACACAGGGACTCTATAGGTGTCATTCCAGAATTTAACCATGAATCAGGTACAACAATATAAAGCTCACTAGTTTATAAATAACAGTTGAATCCAAACTGTGTCTCTGGCAGACAGAACAAGTTAAGGTTACCCACTCACATGGCTAAACTTTTTACTAATATTTGTAGAGAAGACTTTTAAGATTTGTATTTGCCCTTTATGAATAATCTTATGGAGGCTGTGGACTAGATTTTGGGCAAGGGAGCTTCTATAGCAGTCTGTATTTTAAAAAAACCTCTTTTCCCCTTTTTTCCCCACTCAGTCTCAGGTGATTGTGGGCAGTGTTTTAGTTATCTCCTTGGGTGCTTACATTTCAAAGATTTACATCTTCACAGGTCAGGAAAAGAATGCAAGTTTTTCACCTCAGAATTTGGGATACATTTCTCTATTATCAGAAATCTAGGGTAGTTATTATTTAAAAGTTTTCTTTGTATTAGTGGTTGTATGGCATGGGGTGCTTTATCCACTTTATTATCAATCACTATGATATCCTCCTATTCATTCCCCTCACTTTCCTAGGGATTCCACCTCTTAGCGCCTCAATCAGGCTTTGTCACTAGTGCTCAGACCTTAATCTATGGCAGCTTGTGCCCTCCTAGCTTTGTAAAACATTACACTAAGGTCTCCAACTTATTATCTTGCTCTCCCATCTTGTCTGCTAGCCCTGAAGCTAGCAGAAAGGTGGACAACCACACGTTCATTCTTCAGCTCTTCTTCCAACTTTCTACCTTGAGATTCAGTTGGGAATTGGTGGTTAGTCCAACTGCCCACAGTAGAGGCTAGCCCACTGGGGCAGCCATCCATTTCTCTGCTTTGCTGCAATTAACAAATGCATTAAACCAACCAGCATTTTCAGGATATCCCCATACTCATGCAGCAGTCCACAAGCATCTAACATATGGGCTACTCTTCCCCACATAGCAGCTGATGGTCAACCCGGGATTTCCCCACAGATGCCTCTTTCTCAAGACACATTTCTTTGGTCTCCTGGCTGCCTCTCCAATTGTTGGTACACAACCTTGGGAGTTCCCCAGGTGAAATTCAAAGTTGGCCCCCATACACAGAGGGCAAGGAGAGACTGAAGAAAGAGGCAGGCCACTCCAGATTGGTAGGTGGCAGTTGTAATAAGCAAAGGAATTTACATATGAAGTTTGTCTTGGGTGGTCACAAGATGAGTAGATCTCTACACTCACCCACCAGAATCTTAAAAGTTTATATAGAGGCCATAATGAGGTTCAGTCACAGATATAGTCCAGATGGTCTCAGTAATACATTACTTTCTCAAGGCTGCATCCTTGAAAATGGCACCTACTGCAGGATCAATGGGTGGAACATACATTCCGAGGACAGGGGAAGGAGTAAGGAGCCTCCAATTTCCTGGGTCCAGCTAATGGGTCAACTAGTGGTCACGTCCTCTCAATGACCTCCTTCAACAGTGATCTATGTAATATTTCCAAGTAAAGTGTTGAAGGCACCTAGTTCCTTCTTGCTGCTTATAGCAAAATGTGAAAGGAGATAAATTAATTGAGGGAAAGACTGTTAAACACAAAGGAACCAGGACTTGATGGTTTTGAACACTGTTAGCTTCAGCAGATAGCACAAGATGCTAAAACTAAGAAATGGCTTTGAAGCACTATCAAGAAAATGTGGTCTAGAAATAAAGGAAAAAATGTGACTGTACCATCTTTGTTAAGATCTGAGAAAAATCAGAGAATCAGAGCATTCAGCCACACAAAACTCCCTTTGAAGAGATTAAGGATACCTCATAGATCTTTTCAATCAGACAAGAAGGCCTCTAGAAAGCTTAAGAGTGTTGGCCCTCAGCCCTCTCAGGAGTCCAAGGTAGAGAAGGCTTATCTCAAAGAGATCTATGAGTGCAGCTTTTGTCTAACACAGACAACCCATAAAATTTTAGAGCAAACTGTATCAGCAGAAACACTACCACCTTAGACTGAAAGAGATAGAGACTATACAAAATGGAAAGAAGAGGTCGGATCCCCAAAATTCTACTGGCAGGAAGCAGGCTGAGAAAACTCTTCTGCTGCTTTTTATGAAAAAGTAAGGATGACTCAGAGGGTGGGACCAAGAACCCAGAGGGTGGAACCAAAAGCCATGAAGAATTGTTCCTAGGGCTTGAGACCTCATCAAGGAACTCCTAACTTTGCCCAGCTACATAACACTTACTTTCTTCAGTGTTTTAAAAGTACCATTCAACAGTATTTTGACCTCTCTTTTTTCTCTTGAGCAGTAAGTGGTCATTTGAATCACTGTCTCCCTGTATGTAATATGTTAGGGATTTTTTTTCTGGATGCTTTCAAAATCTTTTCTTCTTCGATTTTCAATAGTCTGACTATGGTGTGCCTACATATGGTTTTCTGTGGATTTATTCTGCTTGGGGTTTGCCAAGTATCTTGAATGTGTAAATTTATGTCTTTCTCTAAATTTGGAAAGTTTTCACCCATTATTTTAAAAAATACCTTCTCTGCCCCTTTCCCCTCTCCTTCTGAGCCTCAAATTATGTGTATGTTAGATCTTCTGATTTTGTCTTATACATCTCTGAGACTCTGTTGTTTGTTTGTTTCAAAAATTTTCTTTCTGCTTTTCAAATTGGATAATTTCTGTTGGTTTGTCTTTATGTTCATTAACTTTCTTCTGTTATCTCCATTCTGCTAAGCCCATCCAGTGAATTTTTTAGTTTCAGATTGAATTTTTCAGTTCTAGACTTTTCAGTGGGTTATTTTTTGTAGTTTCTATTTCTCAGTTGAGTTATCGTGTTATTCATTGTTAACATGCATACTTGTAAATAACTGATTTGAAATCCTTTTTTGCTACAATCAGAGTCAGTCTCTGCATTTTCTCTTGTACATCTTCTCTTTCTCTTGACACCTTTCTCTGTTTCTATGTTGAGTTACTTTGGATTGAATCTTGGTTGTTGTGAATTATATATTTTAGAGATTTTGGAGTCTGTTTAGTTCCCCTGAAGACTGCTAAATTTTTGTTTTATTTAGCAAGCACTTAACTTGGCTGGACTCAGACTGGAAACTATCTCCCCTGTGGCATGTGGTAGCTCAAATTTCAGTCCATTTAAGTAGTCAGTCAGATTGGGCAGAGTTCATAGCCAGAATTTAGACACCTCTCTCTGTCAGGATTCCTCTTTGACATTCCTATAAGTTGTGATGACTGTGAAACTCTCCTTTGATTCTTCAAGTCAGTAAGACTAAAGGTTTTCTGTCAGAAGTTTAGTTACCTGCAAAGCACTGACTGGACCTATTCACAAGCTAAAAGCTGTAAATATGATAAACACATCCAGTGCCATCCCTTGTTCTAAGTGTCGGCTCTCCTCCAGTAGCTGTGTGATTTTGGTTGTTCCTCAGTATCTTCAGATAGTTGTATTTTATATTTTGTTCAGAGTTTATAGTTATTATCTATATGAGGGTTGGTCTGATAAAACAATTCAGTCATATTGGAACTTAGTTTTTGGAGTTAGTTTTGTATATGATGTGAGGTATGGATCAAGGTTTGTTTTTTCCTCTAATACTGACGTCCATTTGTTCTAGCACAATTTTTTGAAAGGATTTTCCTTTCTCCCATTGAATCACATTGGCACCTTTGTCAAAAAATAGTTGTCCATATGTGTGTAGATCTGTTTCTGGCCTGTTTATTCTGTTCCATTGATATATCTGTCTGTACTTACATCAATACCACACTGTCTGAATTATTGTATCTTTATAGTAAGTCTTAATATTACACAGTATAAATCCTCCACACTGTTCCTTGCTTTGGCTAATCTAGGTCCTTTGCAAAGCCATGTAAACTTTAACATCTCCTTGTCAGTCTCCAGAAAGTTGACAAATAATTGGTTAAACAAGTAGAAGACAAATGAGTATAGTGATAGGAAATTTCAACAACACTCAACCAACTTGATTTATATATTGTAGAACACTACACCCATCAACAGCTGAATATATGCTCTTTTTCAGGGACACTTGAAACATTCCCCTAGATAGACCATATGTCTAGACCATATGAAATCATATGCAGTATATTTTCTGATCACTATGGAATTAAATTAGAAGTGAGAAATAAAAAGTCAACAGAGACAGTAGCCATATTTTTGAAGAGTTAATGAAAGCAACAGTAGAGGGAGCTATGTGAAGTTTAAAAAAGTATACGTTTCCTTCTAAAAGTTACAGAACACAAATTTCCCCTTAAAATGAGCAACAAAATAGGCCCAAGGTCAAATCCTGTAAAAAATTCTTGCTTTTAAAAATGAAAGACTGGCTAAATGATGTATACAATGAATAGCAAAAATTTATGATTAGATATTTGTATTCTATGCAACATATAAGTAGGTATTTTAGTAAGTATACCGTATGATATATTATGGTGAAAATCATTAAAAACAATTTCCTATCTATCTTCTCCCCATCCCCCAGTGCTGACCATCACCCTGAACAGAATTGTATTGTTACAGGTATCAGTGTCATTCGAGGATGTGACTGTGGACTTCAGCAGGGAGGAGTGGCAGCAACTGGACTCCACTCAGAGGCGCCTCTACCAGGATGTAATGCTAGAGAACTACAGCCACCTGCTCTCAGTGGGTAAGCACAGCCATCCTATGAATCTGCGAGGAGCTTGTTCTGGGTAAAATTGTGTCCCCAGATAAAATATGTTGAAGTCCTAACTCTTGGTACCTCAGAATGTGACCTTATTTGGAAATAGAGTCTTTATAGAAGTAATCAAGCTAAAATGAGGTTGTTAGGGTGGGCCCTAATCCAGCATGACTGATGTCCTTATAGAAAAGGGTAATCTGGACACAGAGACAGACACATACAGAGGGAAGACAATGTGAAGACACACAAGGGAAAAATGGCCATGTGACTGGAGTGATGCATCTATTAGCCAAGAAAGGCCTGAGGCTACCAGAAACTAGGAGAGAGGCATGGAACAGTTCATTCCCTAGCACCTTCAAAAAGAGCATGGCCCTGTTGATACCCTGATTGTGGACTTCTGGCCTCCAGAACTGTGACACAGTAAATTTCTGTTGTTTTGAGCCCCCCCGGTTTGTGGTACTTTGTTACAGTGGCCCTATGACACTAGCACAGATTTCTGTACTGGGAAGTGGGGTGCTGCTGTAACAAATACCTAAAAAAATCGTGAAAGTGGCTTTGGAATTGGGTAATGGGTAGAGGCTGGAAAGGTTTTGAAATGCTTGATAGCAAAAGCCGAGATTGCATTGAAGAGACTGTTGGTAGAAATATGAATGTTAAAGGTGCTTTTAGTGAAGTCTCAAATGGAAGTGAGGAACATGTTAGTGGAAACTGGAGGAAAGGCAGTTCCTGTTATAAAGTGGCAGAGAATTTGGCTGAATTGTGTTCTGTTGGGTGGAAAGTAGAACTTGTAAGCAGTGAACTTGTTTAGCTGAGGCGATGTCTAAGCAAAGCATTAAGGGCATAGCCTCATTTCTTCTTGCTGCTTACAGTAAAATGCTAGAGGAAAGAGAGAAACTGAAGAAGGAATTGTTAGTAAAAAGAAACCAGAACATGAAGATTTGGATAATTCTTAGCCTATCCATATTGCGAAAAATGAGAAAGTGTACTCTGGAAAGAACACTAAGGTTTGACTGGACAACCAACTGCTGAAGAGATTAGGTGTATGAATTATGGATCCATCCAAACATCTCAGTAGAAGTGCTGCCAGTTTGGGCTGAAGAGGACAGAGAAGAAAAAATGAAGGAAGGCTGCTGGACGTTTGGGATTTTATAGACGGAAAACAGGCTGGTAAAGCTTTTTGGCTGTGAACATGAGTTATCCTTCAAGAAAAGGGATGAGTGACCCCAAGGATGGTTCAGAGGTCAGCAGGGCTGCTGCTGCCACCACAGGCCCACAGGGCACAGGCCAGGAAGATGAGGGGAGTGGTAGTGACAGGCTGTTACCTCCTTGGTTCCAGAGGGCGAGCCATCTTCTTGCTTCCAGGGCTGAGGGAGCAGGGCCGCCACCCAGGGCCAAGGGCATAGGGTTGCCGCAACTGATCTGTGGTCACACCTCTTAACAGTTTCATGTTCTTTTGAACTCTGTCTTCAAAGTTCTTTTCAACTTTCCCTTCCAGTGACTATCTACTTCCTGCCATATTTAGCCTTAGATGGACTTTATTACCCACTTTGGGCTGTATTCTCAAGCAGCATGACTCTGGGAAGACCCAGGCTCAGTGCTCTAGGGGTTGTTACTAGCCTCACACCATCCACAAGCTGGGCCTCGATCAGAAGGACTTGAGCCCCCTACAAGTGGCACCAGGGAGCGAGTCTACCATATGCCACATTTCCTGTGTCCCACTGTGGGGTGAGGATTCAGCACTGGGCTCTTCTGTGTTTATTCACCATTACTGAAGGAATCCTTGTTAAGTTTCTTTTCCTCTACTGACTAATATGCTTAAATTCAGTGAGGGAGTAAATTGAGACCCAGTTGCAAGCCATAAGTTGTTTCTCAAAAGGAAAGAAGTTATCCACAGAGGATGGCAAGGCTTTACTCCAGAATCCTAGGATCTGCACTGTGATTTGTCTGTAGGGGACTCCCAAAGGCTCCATGCCTGTCTGCCACTGCCACTTCGAGCAACACTGGATCTGCTGGATGATATGGCCCAAGTGGCAGAGCAGACGGTACGGCACCCTGGCCCTGTTGCAGAGCCTTCTCTCCTTCTGGACTCTACTCAAAACTAGCAGCTTTCCAGGTCACTCAGTAAATAGGCCAGAGGAGCACACCCAAAAGAGGAGTATGTTGCCTCTGGAATCCAAAGAGGCCCAGTAGGCATTGTGCCTCTTTTTGCTGGTAGGAAGAGCCAGATGCAGAAACTTATCCTTCACCTTAAGAAGGGATAGCTCAACGTGCCCCACACCACTGGACCCTTAGAAATTTCACCGAGGTAGAAGGCCCCTAAATTTTTGTCAGATTTATTTCTTATCTTCTGACATATAAATATCTTACCCATGATTCTACCAAGACTAGTTGGTACTTCTTGTTCACTAGGTCCAGTCAGCATAATATCATCGATGTAATGGACCAATGTGATGTCTTGGAAGGGAAAGTTGATCAAGATCCTTGCAGACTCAATTATGACATAGGACTGGAGAGTTGATCTACCTATGAGGTAGGACAGTAAAGGTATATAGCTGGCCTTGCCAACTGAAAGCAAACTGCCTCTGCTAACAGGTATTGTAAAAAAGGCATTTGCTGGATCAAGAGCTGCGTACTGCGTACCAAGGGATGTGTTAATTTACTCAAGCAGTGAAACCACATCTGGTATAGCAGCTGCTATTGGAGTCACCACCTGGTTGAGTTTATGATAATTGACTGTCATTCTCCGAGACCCATCTGTCTTCTGCACAGGCCAAATAGGCAAGTTGAATGGGGACGTAGTGGGAATAACCACCCCTGCGTCCTTCAAGTCCTTGATGGTGCCACTAACCTCTGCAATCCCTCCAGGAATGTAGTGTTACTTTTGGTTTACTGTTTTCCTAGATAGAGGCAGTTCTGGTGGCTTCCACTTGGCATAATAGCCCTCACTCCACAGGTCAGAGAACCAATATGGGGATTCTGCCAGTTGCTGAGTATGTCTATTCCAATCATGCATTCCTCAGCCAGGGAAGTAACCACAGGTTGGGTTCAGAGACACATTGGGCCCACTGTGAGATGGGCCTGAGCTAAAACTCCATTGATCACCTGATCTCCATAAGCTCCTACTCTGGTGGACCACAGTGATGTTTTGGGTCTCCTGGAGTTAGTGTCAGTTCAGAGCTAGTGTCCAGTAATCTCTGAAAAGCCTCATTATTTCTCTTTCTCATGCACAGTCACCCTGGTAAAGGGCTGTAGGTCCCTTTAGGGAAGGCGGGAAGAAAGATTAGTAGTATGAATTTCTGGCAGTGTAGTGGGGTCCTTTCTCAAGGGACCCAGCCTCCCCTTCACTCAAAGGGTTCTGGGTCTGTAAACTGGCTCAAGGCTGGGAATTGATTGAGGAGCCAGGACTCTCTGTTTTTATGTTTCAAGTTAGACTTCTGTTCACTTGACCTAGAACTCTTCTGCTTATATAGACCAAGTAAGAATTTAATAGATTACCCTTCTATTTCTTTTCTAGGGACATCATGATCAACTAGCCAATGCCATAGGTCTCTGCGAGTCAGACTATTCTGATTACTGTTTTGACCCTGCTGTCCGTTACAGTAACTGTGTCCACCTTGCATTTAGCAATTAAATGCCTCCATTTGGTCCCTGCCATCCCAGAGTCCAATTACTGCCATTACATTTAGGTTTCCCAATTCAGATGCAGCAGTTCCCACTGTAATTTCTGACCTACAGAGAAGAGCAATCACAGAGCTCTTCAAGGATACTGGGGCCCCGTCACAAATTTGTTTGTCACAGTCATGGTGACAGGTGTGTCCTCTGGACCCTCCAGTGTGGGTGAGCATGTGTTACGTGATAAATTCACTCTAACATTCCAAACTCTCTGAGCCTTTGGGTGCCTTTCTCTATAGGATACCAGAGTAGTTCTGGTATTTCAAGTGCATTTAGTATAGGCCACATTTTGGTCCACGTTTCAGCCAGCCAAACAAACGAAGTGTTCAGGCCCTTTTTAACCCCTCAAGTGGCAACAGTAAATTCAGAATCTACTTAGTGTGCACATATCAATAAATTCTGCCTGATCCATCTTTATGTTTTTTCTGTTATCTCACACTTTTAATATCCATTTCCGCCTATGGTTCCCAGATTTCTGTCTATAATATAAGTTGGCTAAATCATGCAGTTCTTTTGGTACGTAGTGCACCTCCTCATTGGTCACACTCTGTACCTCACCCTTTGGGCCCTGATGAGAGTTGGGTCTAGTTATAGGTCTGGAGGCAAAGGAGGGTGGTGGAGGTAGTCCTGAGGGGAATCTGCAGGGCCTTCCAAGGCAGGTACCTCGGGGGCGGCCACTGTAGGCTCCTCAGGCAAAGTAGGGTTCATCTTCTCAGACAGGGGTGGAAGGGCTGCTTCTACTGGCAAAGAAAACTCCTCAGAATTTAGAGGTTCAGTGTCCTCACATGTCCCCATTCCAGTTTCAGGATCCTGTTCCTTCCCAGTCAGTGCCCTCACTTTAACAGCAGTCAGCCTGTGAGATTGGGAATTCCATGTGTGTTGTAATTTAACCCTCACAGGACGAGACTCTGGGTTTGGTTTTCAGCAATCTCAGCTCTGCAGCTGCAAGAGTTGAGGGTTTCTTTCAGGACGGACATAGAAGATTTTAGGTCATTTATATGGTACTTGAGCTGAGCAATTAAATCCCTGAGCTCATCCTTTTCTTTTCCCACTTTGTCCAGTGCTATTAGGAGCAACCAGGCAATCTTATTAAACTTGTAAGTTTGACAAAAATTTCTCAGATATCAAAGACATGGTCACCTAGAACCTTGCCTCTTACAGACATTTGATCAGGAGTACCCAGCGGTGATAGCTTGCGTGTCTCTATTGCCACATCACATCATGGACTCTCAGTGCCCTCTTTACTACTAAAAATAGGGTCATTAATGCCTTTAAATCTAATCAGAACAGGGAACAAATTCCAGAAACACCATAACCAATTCAGAAAACTCATCCTTAAGATTCTGTGCCTCTGGAGCCACTCTCACTACCAAAATCTGTATTACGGTTCTCCAGAGAAATGGAACCAATAAGATATGGGTATATACATATATTGGGGGGGATTTATTTTAAGGATTGGCTCACCTTCGTTCCTGAAGGGTCTGGGCCATTAGTAGTCCTGCCTGAATTGGATTGTTGTCGTTTTCCATCGACTTTAATCACAGGGCATGGTAGTATGCCTTAACAGATCTCCTGTATCCTAGACATACTCTTCCTTACCTCCATTGTGGAGTAGCAGTCCAATTTCCCCTTGGTAATCAGGATCAGTCATCCCAGCCAGCACAGTAACTCCCTTCTTCGCCTGTTGATTCAGAGGCATAAGAAACCCGAAATGTCTAGGTGACAGACTTAACTTCTAGTTCAGCAGGATCGCTATGTTTCCCAGAAGAAGAAGCAATCCTTCCTTTAGAACTAAGACCTCTAGAACAGCAGAGTATAAGGTCTCAGGAACAGGAAGCAAAAATTTTGCTAGTGGACCACTAGGGGTAATAGTGAGTGGTGCCACTCCTGGCCCAGGGCTGAGGGGGTGGGGCCACCACCCTGGTGGGCTTGGAGGACAGAGCATTGAGCCAATGAGAATTATTCTCAAGCCTGAAAATCTAATGGGATTTGCCCTGCTGGGTTTTGGACTTCCTTGGGACCTGCACTCCCTTTTTCATTCCGATTTCTCGCTTGTAGAATGGGAATATCTGTCCTATGCCTGTCCCATCGTTGTATTCTGGAAGCAGATAACTTGTCTGCTTTCACAGTTTTGCATGGAGAGGAATTTTGTCCCAGGATGATTCTCACTCAAGTTTCACCCATAAGTGATTTGGGTGATTTAGATGATGAGATTTGAGACTTTGAGTTGATGTTTAGATGAGATTTTAGACTTAAGAGTTGATAGTGGAATGATTAAGACTTTCAGGGATGTTGGGATGGGGCTAGTGTCTTTTGCACATGGGAAGGACATGAATTTTAGGGAGTCAGAGGGCAGACTCTTATGGGTTGAATTGTGTCCCCTCCAAAGAAGATATATGGGAAGTCTTAACTCCCAGCACCTCAGATGTGACCTTATTTGGAAATAACGTCTTTACAGAGGGAATCAAGTTCAAATGAGGTCATTAGAGTGGGGCCTAATTAATATGACTGGTGTCCTTATAAAAAAGGGAAATTTGGGCACAGAAATAGACACACATAGAGGGAGGATGATGATAAGACACACAGGGAGAAGATGGCCATGTGACTGGCGTAATGTATTTACAAGCCAAGGAATGCCAGAGACTAACAGCAAACACCAGAAGCTAGAAGGTGCGAGGAAGGATTTACTCCTGTATCTGCCAGAGAGACCATGACTCTGCTAACACCTTGATTTCAGACTTCTAGCCTCCAGAACTGTGAGACAATAAACTTCTGTTGTTTCAAGCCACTCAGTTTTTGGTACTTCGTTTCAGCAGCCCTAGGACACTAACACAGAGCTGGAGTGAGATATTTCCGTCCTCAGCTGCTGAGTGCTCTGGCGTGTCTTGGAGTGTGCGATGGTGTCCTCCTTGCTTGGTCTGGGATTCTTCAGGCCCTTTTCACCTCTGTGATTATTACTCTCTTCCCAATGAAATGTGATTACTTTTCCAAATCAAAAATGGAAAGCAATTAGCTGGACTCAATTCTCTATCATGTCCTGTTAACAGGATATGAAGTTCCCAAACCAGAGGTCATCTTCAAGTTGGAGCAAGGAGAGGAGCCATGGATTTTGGAGGGAGAAACCCCACATCAGAGCTGTTCAGGTGAGTAAGTGTGATCCAGGCAGAAGGGACGCATGGAAATACATTTTTTTTTCCTAAGAGATTGTTGCCTTTAAAGTGCTATTATTTCTACCTTTCTTAAAGCCTATACTCTGGATCATATGCCAGGCTTCCTCATTATGGATCTGGCTTTCTTGGAGATTCTCTCCTTCCATCACGTTTTTATGCTTCATTACTGAAACCCCACCCCCAGGGTCTTAGATTCTTATCGTATACATTCAGGTTTTAATGGATTTGCCTTCTCTGAAAATCAGTTGGTTGCCTCACTCCTGTTCTTCTTAGTGTCTTTCACTTGCTTCTTCCTCTCGTTTTCATCTTCTCACTCTAAGATGCCAATAAACTGTCATCTACAACCAGCCTCACTCCCTCTTCTCTTTGTATCACTTCAGATTCCTCATTCCTCTCCACCGCCCCTATCTCTATGCCGCTCTCCCATCTTCTGACTTTATGATCACTGTCACTTAGCATTTTCCTATTAAAATCAGCCTTATTAAGGTATAATTTACATATAATAAGATGTCTCCATTTTAAGTGCACAGTTTTATGGGTTTTGATAAAGGTACACACTGGTATAACCACCACTCCAATCATGATATATAACATTCCATTACATAAAAATGTGCCTTCATGCCCCTTGTAGTCAATACCCACCACCACTTTGGCCCCAGGCAACCATTGACATCCTTTTTGTCACTGTAGATTAGATTTATCTTTATTAGGGTTTCATATAAATGGAATCATACTGTATGTACGCTTTTGGATCTGACTTCATTTGTTCAGCATAGTGATTTTGTGATTCATCCATGTTACTGCATATATCACTAGTTTGTTCCTTGTAAATGCTAAATACTATTCCATGGTGTGAATATATTGTAGTTTGTCTATATACCTGTTGATGACAGGTGGTTATTATTTGGTTATTATGAATAAAACTGCAGTGAACATTCTGGTATCTTTGTGTGAACATATGTTTACATTTCTCTTGGGTAAATACCTAGGAGTGGAGTTGCTGGGTCGTACAATAAGTGTATCCTTATCTTTATAAGAAGTTGCCAAACTGTCTTACAAAGTGGCTGTGTCATTTTACATTGCCAACAGCAATACATGAGATTTCTGTGCTCCGCATTCTCACCAACACTTGCTATCATCAGTCTCTTTAATTTTTCCTATCACAGTGGATGTGTAATGGTATCTCATTATGACTTTAAGTTGTAGTCCTCTGAGGAGTAATGACATTAAGTATCTTTTCATGTGAATATTGACCATTTGTACATTTTTTGTGAAGTATCTATTCAAATATCTTTCCTGTTTTTTTACTGGATTGTCTTATTATTGAGTTTTAAGAGTTGTTTATATTTGCTGGCTGCAACTCCTATGCCAGATAGATGTATTGCCAATGTTTTGTTCCAATCTGTGGCTTGCAGTTTTATTTTCTTACTTGTGCCTATCGAAGGGCAAACATTTTAATTTTGATGGAGTTTAATTTATCATCTTTTTGAAATGTTTAGTACTCTTTGTGTTCTCTTTAAGAAATGTTTACCTACTACACAGTCACAAAGACTTTCTTACGTGTTCTTCTATAAGTTTTATCACTCGAGCTTTTTCTGTGTAGGTCTATGATCCATGTTGTGTATTTGATGTAAGGATTGATTTTCTTTTTTTTTTAAAGATTGGCACCTGGGCTAACAACTGTTGCCAATCTTCATTTTTTTTTTCTTCTTCTCCCCAAAGCCCCCCAGTACATAGTTGTGTATTTTAGTTGTGAGTGTCTCTGGCTGTGCTCTGTGGGATGCTGCCTCAGCATGGCCTGATGAGTGGTGCCGTGTCCGCGCCTGGGATCTGAACCGGCAAAACCCTGGGCCACCGAAGTGGAGAGCACGAACTTAACCACTCGGCCATGGGGCCAATCCCTGATTTTCATTTTTTTAAATATGACAAACAGTTGTTCCAGAACCATTTGTTGAAGAGACTCTCTTTTTTCCATTGAATTTCCTAGGCACATTTATCAAAATCAATTGAATTTATGTATGTGAACCTATTTCTGGACACTATTCTGTTCTATTGATCTATATGTATTTCCGTTTTAAAATGTGGGTTTTATTATTATTCAGGTATGGTGAGGCCAACAGATCTGGAGATGACTGCCATTGAAAAGATGGTTTGTAACTCACATTTCCCAGGAGGAGGGGGCGTGCCACACCACACAAGGCCACACTGGGAAGCACCAGGGTCAGTCAGGAGGCAGAAGTTGTGAGAGGAAAGCGTGGGCAAGAGCTTTTATTGTGATTTTCCTGAGAAAGAATGGGTGAGGCAGGTTAAGCAGGCTGGGGAGGTTTAAGCTTGGCTAGTTTGAGTAATTCCAGCAGGTTCCAGGGTGTAAGGACTGTACCTAGTTTACCTAGTTGCCTGATACCTGGCCCTGAGCTGATCTGGGCAGGGGGATAGTAGCTCACCCTGTGAGTTTGTTAAAGGAGATAATTGGTGGCTATGGGCTCTGGATTGGTTGGTTTGCACATGAAGGCCTGCTTGTAGGGAAGTCACTTGCTATCTCTAGGAATTAACTAGCCCTGGGAGGAGCAGTCCCTCTAGGATCAGCTAGGCACCGGATGCATCAAGAATACAGAAAATGAGAAAATATAGTTGATACACTGTCCTTTTGGCAAACCCATACTTTCTTTATTACTGTAGCTTTTAAATGAGTCTTCAAATCAGGTAGGAGAAGTTCTCCAACTTTGCTTTTTTTTTTTTAATTACTTTGGCTCTTCTAGGTCATTTGCATTTCCTTATAAATTTTATAATCAGTTTGTACTTTTTTTGAAAAAGCCTGCTGGGATTTTGTTTGGAGTTGAGTTGCCTCTGTAGATCAACTTTAGGAGAATTGACATCTTAACAATGTTGAGCCTTCTGATCCATGAACATGGCAAATTTCTTCATTTATTTAAATCTTGGATTTCTTTCAACAATGTTTTATAGTTTTCAGTGTAGAAGTTTTATGCATCCTTCATTAAATTTATCCCTAAGTATTTGATGTTTTTTGATACTATTGTAAATACATTGTTTTTTAAATTTTATTTTCGGATTGTTCACTGCTAGTATAAATTGCTATTGATTGATTTTGTACGTTGGCTTTGTATCCTGAGGCATCCCTAAATCCGCCTGTTAGTTTTCTTGTAGGTTCCTTAGGGTTTTTCCTGTAATTAATCATTATCACTTTAGGGACACTTGTATTTCTTCCTTTCCAATCTCATATTTTTAATTTCTTTTCCTTTCCTTATTTCACTAAGACCTTCAGTTCAGTGTTGAACAGAAGTGGTGAGCATGGACATGCTTGCCTTGCTCCCAATATTAGGGACAAAGAATTCATACCATTAAGTATGATGTTAGCTCTAGGTTTTTTGAAGCTGCCCTTTATCAGGTTATGTAAGTTCCTTTCTAATCCTAGCTTGTTGAAGAGGTTTTTTTTTTTTTGTCATAGTTACATGTTGAATTTTGTCAAATGAATTTTCTTCATCTTATTAGAGTGATCATAGAGTTATTGCTTTTGTTTTATTAATATGTGAATTTATTTATTGATTTTCAAATGTTAAATTAACCTTGCACTTCTGAGAAATAATACTAGTTGATTATGATATATTGCCCTTATTATATATTGTTGGATTCTATTTACTGATATTTTGTTTTAAAAATTTGCATTTTTCATGAGTGATATTGGTTTTTAGTTTTCTTTTTTTGCGATATCTTTGTCAAGTTTTGTTATTAGGGCTATGCTGGCTGCATAAAATGAGTTGTGAAGTGTTCCCTTTTCTGTTTTCTGAAATAATTTGTGTAAGATTGTTATTTCTTCCTTTACTGTTTCGTGGAATTCATCAGTGAAACCATCTGGACCTGGCATTTTCTTGATGGGAAAATTTTAATAACAAATTCAATTTCTTTAATAGACATAGGACTATTCAGATTTTCTGTTTCATCTTTTGTCAGACATAGTAAGTTGTATTTTTCAAGGAATTTGTCTATTTCCTTTGTTGTCTAATTTAAGTCTGTTGTGGTCTGAGAATGCACTCTGTATGATTTCAGCATATGGTCTATCTAGGGGAATGTTCCATGTGTCTCTGAGAAGAATGTATATTCAACTGTTGATGAGTGTTGTTTCAATGATATATAAATCAAGTTGATTGTGTTGTTGAAATCTATTGCTTTACTGGATTGTACTCTACTTTTTCAATCAGTTTGTAATTTTAGAGGGTAAAAACTGACAAGGAGATTTTAAAGTTTATATGGATATGCGAAGGACCTGGAATAGCCAACACAGTCTTGAGAAAGAAGAAAAATGTTGAGACTTACTATAAAGTTACAATAATCCAGACGGTGTGGTATTGATGTAAGGACCAACAGATATCTAAATGGAACAAAAGAGAGAATCTGAAAATAGACCCACACATATATGGACAACTGAGTTTTGACAAAGGTGCAAATACAATTCAGTGGGGGAAAGGAGAGTCTTATGAACAAATGAATATCGGTATTGAAGGAAAAAAACCTTGACCCATACCTCACACCTTATACAAAAATTAACTTGAGTTCTAGTCTGAATGCATTGTTTCTATTGGAGTAGCCCATCTAATAGAAACTGTTAATTCTGGAAAGTATACTTTAAAAACTACTGAAGACACGAGAATGACAAAAAGAACATTTTTTTTCTGGGAAATCATATATTGAACAATTTTGGATTGTATCCTGAACATTATGAGTGTCACAGTAACACTGTTTTTTTTTAATAATGTTCTGTGTTTTTGTCAGAGTAGGCAATTAACTATGTTAGACTCAAACTGGAGATGCTGTCTCACCTAAGGTGGATAGCAACTCAGATCTCTGTTCAGACTTTCTCTAACTCCTGACTCCTCTGCGAAATCTGCCTGTTTTTATTCACTCTGTCGGTATATGTTTTGTTTTATTTTGTTTTCCTAGGAATTATAGTTACTGTTTGTGGAAGGATTTTTTTAGGAGCTTACTTCTCCATACTAGAAGTTGAACGCTTACAATTAATTCCTGTACGTTGACCCTGTGTTCTGAGACCTCACTAAATTCACTTATTAATTCTAGCGAGTCTTTTTATAAATTCCTTAAAATTTTCTGCATCCCTTATTGTGTCTTTTTATAATTTCCTTTTTTGTCTGTGTGCCCTTTATTTTTATTTTATCTGTTTTTATTTTATCTTGTTTCCAGTCTTTGCTCATTTTCCTTTCCGTAGAGGCTTTTCCCCCATTGAGATGCCCTGGGCTATGGGTCTTGTTTACTGTCATCTGAATATTTGTTCCTATAGTAATTAAAAGAGTCTTCCATTCTGAAAACTTAAGCTTTGTATTTGTATTCCAATGACTTCCATATTGACACCACTGGTTGCTATATTATTACTAGACCCTAGTACCACATTTGTCTGCATATTAGACAGTTCCCGTAGAATATTCTGCTTTACTCGTCTTCATTTAGTATGTGAGGAATTGGCACCATCATTGCCCAAATCAGGAATTCTCACATTCCAAATTTTGTCAGATTCTGCTGTGTTTTTTGTTTCTTCCCTCTTAGTTATCTTCTCTTACTAATTACTCTGCAATTCCTGTTTTTTCTTTTTTAATGAATACTATTTAGATATCTTTTTATCTTAATTCTTAGTAGCATCACCCAAAAGCAAGTCTATATTTTCTTATGCTTGGATTATTCTGTTCCTAATGGGATTTGCAGATTTCGTTTCTTGTTTCTAGTTCATCTTATATGCTACTGATAGATGTCACCTGAGACGACGCCACATTTATCTTTGTCATTAACTTCGTGAAGTAAACTTACAATTATTTCATATTATATAACACATGACCAGTAGCTCTTCTCTCAGTGCCATCTACAATGTGGCCATGTATTTATTGCCAGTTAAAGTTGTATCTGTATAATTTCCTTAATTCATGCTTTCCTCAAATTTTCACCTTATCTTTAATGCCTACCAAATATGAAGTTCATCTCTGCATCTGGGCTCTTTATTATTTTGTGCTCGGCCTATCCAGGTAATAGACACTTTCATTTTGTTTCATTTCAGGTTTTCTATTCCATGAAATGACCCTTTACCTACTCCAAGTTTATTGTTCTTCTCCATTTCTATTGCCTCAGATGCTTCTGCCTCTAGTAATTTTGAAAGTCCCTGAAAATAAGAGCCTGTATCTTATTTTCATTATTTGAACACTAAGCATGAAGAAAATACTTACCAATATTAACTAATTGAATTTGTGGGGGATAAGAATATGAGAGTATTTTGCCCTATTTCAGAAGGATTTTAAAAAATTCTACTGATAGGAATTCAATGGAACATAGATTGTAATTGGAAAGTAAAGACAATGGCATCAAATATTAAAAAGTTTATTGTCTGTGTATTGTGTTTCTATTCTAATAGAAGTCTGTTGAAATGATTAGCAAAAGGAATAGCACGGAGGGTGTCTGCTTTTGAAGTTAAAAAAAAGTGTCACTAGCATATGATCAGATTAATTTTCAAAATAAAAAACTCTTAAACTGCTTCATGAAGTACATATGTGTTTTTAAACAGCACAAAAGAAAATGCTAACAAGCAGGCTAAATGGAGGAAGAGAACATGAACATATCCTTCGATCTGAGAATAAACTGGACTGTTTTTGAGACATTTTTGTGAGTGGCAAATAGAATGCAAGCTTGCACGCACAGCTCTTTTCTAGACTGATGACTCTTCATTTGTGTACTTTTCGTTGAATCTGTGGGCTCAGGAAAGGTACAGAGAAGTTTTTATTGCAGGAGCAGATTTTTTACAATGAATATTGGTACCGGTGACCTAAATATTGTCCAATACAGCAGGGGTTTAGAAGTTAAGTTTTACTTACAGGTTATACATTTTATATATATTTATAAGTTAAATAAAATGAAAAGGAGAACCACTTCTAAAACCATGCCTGGGAATCTAGTGCTTAATATCTCCAGAATAAATTAAAGCTCACTGTGTGAGAATGAAAATGCAACTTAAGAATAAGAGGGTGAGATTTTGGATGGGACGTGTGTTTTGAGTGCATTATCAAACTGATTAACAGGGAGAAACTGGAGTTGATGACTCAGCATTCTCAGTATCTAAAATCTCTTGCTGATGAGATAATGTATAATTTTTCCATTTAAAATTATGATTGAGAATCTGATATGTCCTATGTATTGGTAATGGAAACATTTGTGATGCCCATTCTGGGCAAGACAAGTATGTTAATTATGTTAAAGCTAATTTGCAATAATAAAGAGATTATAAGATACAGTGGGTTAAATACTAAAGAATTTTATTTCTCTCTTATATAAAGTTTCTCATATCACAGGCCGTTGTAAAACCTTGTTGCTCATGTTTATTCAGGAATCCAAGTTCCCTCCATTATAGAACTCCCTATCTCTTGGGGTTTTTGTGAAATCTGCATGTTTGAGTCTGCGTTGCTGCCAAGTCAAGGTTTTAGTAAGCAAGAAGGTAGAAGAGGGCATAGAGAAAAATGCCTACTGTCTCAATGTGCTGCTTTGAAAGTGGCACCCATCAATTTTTCTCACATCCTATTGATGAGAACATGGCCACATGGCAACACCAGTTTTCAAAGGAGGCTGAGCAATGTTATATGACTGGGCAGCCATCTGCCTGGCTACTACTCTATTAATGCAAAAGAAAGGTAAAACAAATTCTGGTGGACAGCTTTTGATGCCAGCCCTGATATCAGTTCCTCTACATTAAACCCAGCATATATGGGGTTAAAACCAAAGCACTCTCCCTGCTTGCTCCCTGGCTCCAGAATCCACTGTCTGCCATGGAGACAGACAGCCAAGGTTGCCCACCTGCAAATTCCGTTATCATCCTGCTCCCTGTAAGCAGCCTCCCAAGGCTGAACCCAGGCTGGTGGGAAAGCGCCCAAGGCCACAGGTTCCTCCCCCCCACAAACAGAAACATTCCTTGCAACCTTTGAAACCTCTCGCCTCCCATCTTCTGGGGAGATGAGACAAAACGAGACAAATTTGAGGGCTTGCTCTTGTCTCCCGGCTGATATCACCTGAAATAAAAACCCTTTCCTTGCCATAAGCCTGGCATTCCAGTTTTTATTTGGCCCCTCTTGTGTGGCGGGTAAAGAACCTATGTTTGTAGGCACTAACACCTTCTAGTCTACCACAGATGGCTTGTCCTCTCTGATTTTATACTTCTTGTTAGATATATATAATTTTAGGTCCAAGAAAACAATTATACCTGGATGGAGTGTCGGAGTATAGACATCCATTTATTTATTGTTTGTATAGGTTAAGATGGCCCTGACTACAATATTTTTCCTATGGGTATGAATAAATTGTGGGGTTTTTTTCAGTTTTATTGAGATATAATCGACATACAGTACTGTATAAGTTAAGGTATACTGCATCATAACTTGACTTACATATATTGTGAAATGATTACCACAGTAAGTTTAGTTAACATCCATCTCATAGATATAAAAAAGAAAAGGAAAAAATGTTTTTTTCGTTGTGACAAGAACTTTTAGGATCTACTCTTTTAGCAGATTAAATTGGTTTTTTGATCACATTAAATTGGTATTGTTGCTAACAAGCAAGAAGCAACAAGATTAGTGAGGATTTAGAATGGAAAGCTAATGAAGACTTAGACTCTGAGTCACACCCTCCAAGCCTAGGCTCTCCACGGATATTTCCACTTAAAACCCTTGTCTTTTTTTTTTTTAACCCCCCGGTACATAGTTGTATATTCTTCGTTGTGGGTCCTTCTAGTTGTGGCATGTGGGACGCTGCCTCAGCGTGGTTTGATGAGCAGTGCCATGTCCGCGCCCAGGATTCAAACCAACGAAACACTGGGCCACCTGCAACGGAGCGCGCGAACTTAACCACTCGGCCACAGGGCCAGCCCCAAAACCCTTGTCTTTTTAATCTTCATTTTACTCTACTTGATATCCAAGAGTCCTCAAAAGAGAGCTAGGTAGCTTATGTTGAACTCCAATCTCCAAAACGTAATAACCATATTTTAGGGCAAATTATATATATAATCATTCTGAGCTTCACTTTCCTTATCTACAATAGGTGAATAATAATAGAAAATACCACATAAGGCTTTGAAAGGATTAAATTTCTTTTAATCCTTTCTTAGAACAATTTCTTAGAACAATGGTTGGAATGTCATAAGTATCATGCAAGAACTTGGCACATAATAAGTGCTATACATTTATTTCCTGTCATTGTCATCATCATCATCATCAGATTTACTGGTTCCCCTGTATTTAGTTTGGATTAGCTCTTGTGTACCTTTTAATCTTCTGTTGTCTATTCTTTGTGTCAATTTTACTTTTCTTTCTCTTTTTAGATGGGAAATTTGGGATTAAGACCTCCCAAAAAAGAATTTCTGGAAAAGCTTCATTTCATAGTGAAATGGAGGATGAAGATACAAGAGATGATTCATTGTATTCCATTTTAGAAGAACTGTGGCAAGATGCCGAACCAATAAAAAGATATAGGGAAAAACAGAACAAACCACTGAGTCATGCGGCTTTCATCAATAAGAAAATATTGAATACAGAGTGGGATTATGAATGTAAAGACAGTGAAAAATTTGTTCATCCAAGCCCAAATCATGTTTCTTCACAGAAACAACCCCATAAATATGACTCATTTGGAAAGAATTTTAAGCATAATTTAGATTTACATTTTCATAGTAAAAACAATGCAGCAAAGAACTTTGATAAAATTATTGGACGTGGTCAAGTTTTCACCCAGAGCTGCTCTTATACTAACCATGAAAACACGCATGCAGGAGTGAAATTCTGTGAAAGTAATCAGTGTGGAAAAGTCCTCAGCCTGAAACAAGGACTCAGTCACAATCCAAAATTTCCTGTTGGGGAGAAAGCAAATATGTGTGCTGAATTTGGGAAGATCTTCACCCAGAAGTCACACCTCTTTGCAACTCAGAGAATTCATACTGTAGAAAAACCTCATGAACTTAGCAAATGTGTAAATGTTTTTACACAGAAGCCACTACTCAGTATATATCTGAGAGTTCATAGAGATGAAAAACTATATATATGTACTGAATGTGGGAAGGCATTCATTCAGAATTCAGAATTAATTTTGCATGAGAAAACTCATACTAGAGAAAAACCCTATAAATGCAATGAATGTGGAAAATCATTTTTCCAAGTGTCATCTCTACTTAGGCATCAGACAACTCATACTGGAGAAAAACTCTATGAATGCAGCGAATGTGGGAAAGGCTTCTCCCTGAACTCAGCCCTCAATGTACATCAGAAAATTCACACTGGAGAGAGACACCACAAATGCAGTGAGTGTGGGAAAGCCTTTACCCAAAAATCAACACTCAGGATGCATCAGAGAATTCATACAGGAGAGCGATCCTATATATGTACTGAATGTGGGCAGGCCTTCATCCAAAAGGCACACTTAATTGCACATCAAAGAATTCATACTGGAGAGAAGCCTTTTGAATGCAGTGACTGTGGGAAATCCTTTCCTTCTAAGTCACAACTCCAGATGCATAAGCGAATTCACACAGGAGAGAAACCCTATGTATGCACCGAATGTGGGAAGGCCTTCACCAACAGGTCAAATCTCAATACTCACCAGAAATCTCATACTGGAGAAAAGTCTTATATATGTGCTGAATGTGGAAAGGCCTTCACTGACAGGTCAAATTTCAATAAACACCAGACAATTCATACTGGAGAGAAACCCTACGTTTGTGCTGATTGCGGGAGGGCCTTCATCCAGAAGTCAGAGTTAATTACACATCAGAGAATTCATACTACAGAGAAGCCTTATAAATGTCCTGATTGTGAGAAATCCTTCTCAAAGAAACCACATCTCAAAGTACATCAGCGAATTCACACAGGAGAGAAACCATATATATGTGCAGAATGTGGGAAAGCCTTCACTGACAGGTCAAATTTCAATAAACACCAGACAATTCATACTGGAGATAAACCGTATAAATGTAGTGATTGTGGAAAGGGCTTCACTCAGAAATCAGTTCTGAGTATGCATCGCAATATTCATACGTGAAAGTAACCCTGTTGCTTGAAAATGAGACAGCCTTATCACAGAAGTCAGGTCTAAGTGTATATTATAAAATTCACCCAAGACAGATCTTATGTGACATTGCATAATAAAAAGCATTCATCAGGCTCTCTCACCTCAGATGAGCAAAATTTTTCAGAATAGACCCTCTAAGAATGCATTGAATGAAGGGGAATTTCTATATTTGCACGGCCTCACAATATATAATAGAATTCAAACTGGGAAAAATGCTGTCTGTTTGATGCATTAGGAAAAACCTTCCTTTAGAAAGCAAACTGTTACTAAATTCTTTATAGATGAAGTGTGCAAAATTATGTAAATGACAGTCATGTTTACTGTGTTATGTTAAGTAATTTAAAGTGGCAACTAAATGAAAGGTAGGACAACAAAATAATATATTTGATGTGTAAACCTACTCTCAGTTCTGTAGGGTGTTTGTGGCAGAACACATTGTGCAACAGGAGGAATAATTGAATTGAAATTCTCTTTTTGAATTTAATACACTTGTGTCTATCAAGTTTGTTTCCAATTGAATATTTCTCTCCCGTGAATCCACAATTTCAAAGTCATTATGGTTTTGTATATACATACATCTGCAGATATAATTTTACATGAACACATGAATACAGTCCTATCATTCATACTGGTTTTCATGACATCATATTTTTATCTTCTTTCATTGTGGTACATTGGAAAATGGCCGCAAATTCCTCCCATCCTTTTATCCACATCCCTTTGCAATGTTACTCCTGTTTTTCTTGTTAAGAGGTAGAGTCTCTCTCTTTCTACTCCTTGACTCTGAGCTTGGCCATGTGACTTGCTTTGTCCAATGTACATTAGCAAAGAGATTCAAGAAGAGGCTGGAGAAGTGTGGAAGCCTGCCTTGAGGCTTACCCTCTCTCGCTGCTTTTTGGAATTCTGAGACCTTTGTGTAAAGAAGCTCAGATTCCTCTACAGGGGGATGAGAAACCACAGGGAGCAGAGATGACCCAGCCCAGCTGGAGCCTCTTAGACCAACTGCCAGACATGGGAGTGAGGCCTTCCTCAACCTCCATCCCCGGTCAAGCCGGCCCACACCAGAAGAGCTATACCAGTTATCCCAGCCAACCTGGAGAATTGTGAGATAAATAAAATGATTATTGTTTTAAGATACTAAGTTTTGGGGTAGTTTGTTGCGCAGCCAATGCTAAGTAATGTCTGAAAGTGTATGCATGTGAGGGGTATTGTACCAAAACTAAGACTTGTGGCATTAGCTTTGGGCCTGAGTGGCAGGTGGAAACTGGAAAAACAATGAGAAAAACTGTTAAGAAAGGCTGAAAAAGACAGCAGCCCATGTTACTTAGTAAGGAAAAAAATAGCAAAACAGTCAGCAAGCTCTGTGGGAAGATAGAGAATGTACCAAATGAACTTGTGGGTCTGGTTAAAGAGATTTCCAACAGAATCTTGGAAGTATCAGTTTGCTTCTTTGAGCTGCATACGATAAGGTACAGAAAGAGATGAACCAAGAAAAAAACTGTTCCATTTGCAAGCAGCATTCAGAAGAAATACAAAGAAGCCAGGACTTGCTGGGTTAGAAAATAACTGTTTCACATCTCTGGTCTCTCCAGCCATCAAAATATTCTCAAGGTGAAAACAGGCCTCAGGGTGAGATCAAATCATGGGTATGGTGGGAAGACCTTTTGTTAAAATGTGCAAAATATTTAAGTTGGTGTTTGGGAGACCCTCTCAGCTAAGCTAAACAGCTTCCAAAAACTTCACGACATTGTCCCCAGTAACCTGACACACTGCTCAAAGTAGAGAGGAGCCTGTCTTAAAAAGAATTGTTGATGTGGCATTTGGAGCATGGAGTACATACAAACCAGACTCATGGAAAACCTATAAAATTTTTAATAGAGTTTTACTAGCAAAACTACCTCCAGGTTGGACTTAAAGGGACTGAAACAGTCCAAAATGAAAAGTGGCCTCTGGACTCCCCTCCCTAACTTCTGTGAACAGGAAGCAAGCTAAGAAAGTTACTCAGCTGTAAGCATGGGCCATTTCTTATGGGAATATAAGGATGTCTCAGAGAGAAGACCCAAGAATAATATATTAAAATAGACTGGGAAGCCATTCCCAGGTACACGTATGACCTTATCAGGAAACATTATCTGCCCCTGGAGCAGGGGGACCTGACAACATTTTCTCTGTGGGACGTCTCAGTTGTTATGGGACAGTGGCTGATAATGTGCTTCTTGTTCCTCCCTCTTTTGAATGAGAGTTTCTATTGTAGTATCCATCCCTGTGTCACCATTGTGTATGTGGGGTGTGTGTGTGTGTGTGTGTTGGGTCAGGGTGAGGAGGTGGTCATATAACTTGTCATTTAGCTCACAGGTCTCTGGATCAAGAAACAGAAATGGCACCCAAGGAGCCTCAGCCACATCTGAACCTGATACAGAAGACTTGAGGTCCTGGATTTGAGCCTGATGCCATAATTTGGGCTGAGACATTTGGAGGTCTTGGAATGGGGGTGAACGTATTTTGCATGGTGTGGTAATGAAAATGATTTATGACCAGAAGATAGACTGTGTTAGATTTAAAAATGCTACAAATTTCTCCCATCCCTATATATGCCCCCTTTCAATCTTTATTTCTCTTTGTGTTTCAGTTGGGGTAATTTCTATTGACATATATTCAAGTTCACTGATTTAACCCCTACCCTGGCTCTGTCAGGTCTACTGATGAACCCATAGAAGGCATTCTTCATCTCAGTTATGTTTTCTTTTTTACTTCTAGTATTTACATTCGGCTTCTATAGTTTTCAGCTTTCTGCTGAAATTCCTTATCTGTTCATACCTGTTGTTCACATTTTCCACTGTCCTCTTTAACATGTTAATCATTGTTTTTGTTTTTTTTTTTTAAAGATTGGCACCTGAGCTAACAACTGTTGCCAATCTTCTTTTTTTTCCTGCTTTTTCTCCCCAAATCCCCCAAGTACATAGTTGTATATTTTAGTTGTGGGTCCTTCTAGTTGTGGTATGTGGGACGCCGCCTCAACGTGGCCTAATGAGCAGTGCCATGTCCGCACCCAGGATCTGAACCGGTGAAACCCTGGGCTGCAGAAGTGGAGCACACGAACTTAACCACTCGGCCACGGGGCCGGCCCCTGTTCACTGTTATTTTAAATTGCCTGTTTGATAGTTCCAACAACTGGGTCAGCTGAGTCTGGATCTCTTGATTGCTTTGTCTCCTGGTGGATTGTTTTCTCTTGCTGTTTTGCATCTAATAATGTTTGGCTCAGTGTCAAATAGGAGAGTGGAAACTGGATATAGGAGATATATATCCTGAGGTAAATAATATTCACTCCTGGAAATAGACCTGACTGCTCTTCTTATAGGTTATTAGTTTGAGGGGATTGAGTCCAGTTAGTCAGGATTTGGGCTGGGTTTGGGTGGTGTTGCTCTGGTTACCTTCAATGTACCATAGTCTTCAAATTTCTCTAGTGTTAAGTTGTGTTTAGGGGAGGCACTGGTTTTCCAGAGAATTTTTCTCAGTGTTCCTGGACCACCCTCACCTTTATGCTTTCCTGTGTGTCTGCATGTCAGGGAAGACCTCTCTCCATGCTCTTGCCTCTCCTTTAGTAGTAGACTACTATTATTACTTGGGTCTTGGTGACCTGATGAGTTTTAGGCAGGCCCTGTATCCCTAGGTCCTGAGGGTGGGGTTTTTTCAGCAGTCCTGCCCCTCCGCATTGGTAGAAGGCCTTTAATGGTCTGGGCCCAGGATGGTTTCCTGCTCTTCCCCAACAAGTGGAAGATGTTTTTCCTTTTCCCTTCCTCTAGTCACAGTGGATCTTCACCTGTGTCCTGGAGGCAACAGAGTTTGCTGCACTTCCCCCAATGGCTTAAGGCGTTTGTTCTGTAAGGGAATAGGGTCCCACTGGGGCTTTGTGCCATTTGTGTATCAGAAGCTGCCCCCTTGCAGGCCCATCCCACTGAGAGAGGCTTTCTCCAGTCTCCTGCCCTACTCTCAGTGTTTCTTGTGAGCACCCAGTGGAGGTCTGTGGAGAAGAGCCTGCAAGAGGGGGCCACCTACCCTTAGGTCTCCAGCTCTCAGCAGTCTATCCTCATACTATCCCATACTCAGCCTTTAGAAATTGATTAAAAATTCTTGCTACTGGTATGGGGCACCTATCTTCCTGCTCTGCCACAGGTGACCCAGTAATAACTTCCTTACTCCTTTGAAGCACTTGTCTTATATATCAAGCTAATTGATTGCTCTGTGATTTTAGCTCTCTGATGAGTTCAAAACAAGTTATGATTTTGTAGATTACCCAGATATTTTACTTTTTATAAGAATGGGAGCTATGCTCTTGCAAGATGTCTACATCCTAGGCAGAAACCAGAAGTCTGAACGGTCTCCCTTGGCCACTACTGCAGAATATATGCCCCCTTTCAATGTGACTTTGCCACTTCACCCATCAAGAGGTAGAGATCATTTCTTCAATCTGTGAAACTAGGCTTAGCCATTTCTTTGGTCAATCGGTCATTAGCAAATATGACATAAGCAAAGGCTTGAAAAGTGCTTGCACCTTGAGGTTTACCCACTCTTGCTGCTCTTAGGAATCTGGAGCCCATGTATGAAAAAGCCTGGGTTGTGCTATTAGATGATGAGAGTCCTCGTGGAGCAGAGATGAGCCACCCCAATTGAGGCGCCCTAAACCAATCAGATTTTCATCTGCTAGACATGTAAATGAAGCCATCCTACCCATCCAACCCTGGTCAAGCCCACTGTGGTCAGCAGCCTCTGAGATGACCCTCCATGGTTCCCACCTTCTGGTATCCACACCCTTGTGTAATCCCCTCGCCTTGAGTTTGGATTGGATTTAGTGACTTAGTTCTAGTGGATAGAATGAGGCAGAGGTAATGGGATGTCACTTCCAAGATTAGGTTACAGGAAGACTATGGCCTCCATTTTGGGTGCTCTTTCACTCTCTCAGATTGCTCACCCTAGGGGGAAGCCAGCTGATATCTCATGAGGCAGCCCTGGAGAGGCCTACATAACTGAGTTTGCGAGCATATCCTCCCCAGTCTAGCCTTCAGATGAGACCATAGCCCAAATTGATAGCTTGTCTGCAACCTCATGAGAGACCTTCCGTGAGAGGCACCCCTCTGAGCCTCACCTGAATTCCTGACACACCGAAACTGTGAGATAATAAATATTTGTTGTTTTAAACTGCTAAATTTTAGGTTAATTTGTTACATAGTAATAGGTTAGTAATACACTGGCCCAAACTAGAAAAGCTCGGCCATCCATCCCACCCATCCCAGATAACCCATGGAATTATAGATTAAAATGTTTATTGTTTTAAGCCACTAAATTTTGGGTGACTTGTTCCACAGAAAAAGCTAACTAGTACATTTATTATTTACTGAATCTCCTCCTCCACTGTTCATCACCAGCAGATAACCAATACTAATCAACTACTATGTACACTTTCATGTTTTAATCTGTGCTCATAATTATATATAATCATACATTATGTCACATGCTTGTAATCAGATAGAAGCTATATTAGAACTATTTTCTTCCTTGATTTTCAAATATGGGATCATGTCATACAACCATCTCTGCATCTTGCTTTATTGCTCAACAATGACTCTTTTGAATGGTTGCATGATAATTCATGGAGTGGATGTGCAATAATTTATTGATACTCCTCCCTTTCAAATTTTTTTGTCACTAGGAGAAATGCTGTTAAAAATATTAAGAGGCAGTTTGCTTAGTGGTTAGGTAGATAGGCTCAAGAACCAGTCTGCTAGGGTTTCAATCCTGGCTCTACCAGTTACTAGCTACGTGACCTTGGGCAGGTTAGTTAACTTCTCTGTCCTGATTTCTTCAGCTGTAAAGGATGTTCACAGTAGTACCTAGCTCATAGATTTGACATGAGAAGTGTATTAGCTTCCTAGGGCTGCTATAACAAAGTGCCACAAACTGGGTGGCTTAAAACAACAGAAATTGATTGTCTCACAGTTCTGGAGGCCAGAAATCTGACATCAAGGTGTCAGCAGGGCCACGCTCCCTGTGAAGGTGCTAGGGAAGGAACTGTTCCATGCCTCTCTCCTAGTTTCTGGTAGCCTCGGGCATTTTTTTGGCTTGTAGATGCGTTACTCCAGTCAC